ATGGTGGAAGTCGTTTCTCAGAGAATAACGAACGAATTGACTCGGCTGTATGCTGCTGTAAATGAAGTAGCTAACAGGGCGGTTGTCACATCTGATGATATACAGTATTTCATAAACTGCCTGGAACATTTTCACCGTCATCTTCTTCGATTAAGCGAAAGTGGTTTTGTAACAGCACATTCCATGAGGATTTTGCAAGATGCTCTTAGCGGCCTTCGAGACAGCGGAATGCCTGAAGATTTAATTCCTGCACCGGGTTCGAACATGCACCTGTATCGAGAAAAACCCCTAGGGAGACCTAAATACTTCCTTAGTAGGGATCAGTTAGAATTCTTGTTGTCTTTGGGATTCAACAAGACCCAGTTGTCAGAAATGCTCGGTATGTCTGTGCGTACCATTCAGCGTGGAATGGCAGAGTACGGCTTGTCAAGCAATAACTATTCTGACCATTCAGAAGAAGAACTGGATCGTATGGTGACAGAAATTAAAGAGCAATTTCCTCGAGCTGGATATCGACAGGTTCTTGCAATTCTAAAATCCCATGGTGTTTTTGTGCGGGAACATGAATTAAGAGACAGCGTTCAACGATGTGATCCTTTGGATACCTCCCTAAGATAGTTTGCCACAATTGAAAGGCGACAATACAGTGTCCGGGGGCCTTTAGAGCTATGGCATATGGATGGGAACCATAAGCTGATCAGGTGAATGTGCAGTAGATTATATGACCTAAAATGCAGTTTTTGTCCGAGGCATTGCCAAGGTTTATAATCAAAGGCAACTGTTCTGTTCATGCTTTTTACTGACCGACCCTGATGCAAATACCAGAGAAAGTAAGGGAAAATAGGAGTCTTGATGGGAATATTTTCCAAGTTATCCCAAACTTGCTCCGTTGTTTGTATCAGGAGGTGACTATTTTCCAAACAAACAAAATGCAGAGAAATATCATACAGGTAGCCAAGTTTGCATACCCCATAGAAAACCCACTGACCTCGTGCATTTTTCAAACAAAACTTGGTAAGATTTTCTGAAGTTGTGGAACATACAAGAGAATTTAGACTAGAACACCAACAGGGTTAGGGGAAGCAGTCCATAGTGAAAGTTCGCTTCCCTCACCTTGTTATGGCGGATCAAAGACTTGTGTGAAAAAAAATTACATTATAATTTATTATCCATTTTCATAGGTGGCGAATGGTTCTGTATGGTGCAATTGATGGATACTCTCGTTTGGTTGTCTTTCTTCATTGTTCAAATAACAATCGTGCTGAAACAGTGCTACAGTTGTTTATGAAAGCAGTTACTGAGTTTGGCTTGCCATCTCGATTGCGGACTGATAAAGGTGGTGAGAACACAGCAGCTGCTTTGTACATGCGGCAACATCCTTTGAGGGGAACTGGACGAGGGAGTGTGATAGCTGGCAGTAGCACCCACAACCAAAGAATCGAGAGGCTGTGGAGGGATGTTTTTAGTGGTGTCTTGTGTTTGTATCAAACACTATTTTATCATCTTGAGGAACAAGGTGTTCTTGACCCACTAAATGAGGTTGATCTGCTTGCTCTTCACACAGTATTTTTACCCCGTGTTAACCGTCACCTGGACATTTGGAAAGGAGGTTGGAACAATCATAGCATGAGAACTGCAGGAAGCCTTTCTCCTCTCCAGCAGTTTGTCAGTGGAATGCTACAATTACGTGGTTCTGGTTTGGAAGTAGCCAAGGAAATGTTTTGTCAACTAGATGAGGCAAGTACATGTAACAAAGAATGTTGTCTATGTATTTAACAAGTACAGACTCTTCATAAACTTGAAATACGAAGATCCCAAATTTATGATGAAAACAGTATTTTTAGAGATGTTTTTATATTATTTGAATTATTATTCAACAGGAAGAAGTCTCCTCATATGGCATCGACTGGGATGGACCAATTCCCAATGAGTCTTCTCCCTCTGATGACTTTGAGCTAGTGGAAATTCCAAACATTGAAGTCAACGTTAGGGAAGAGCAACAGCAACAACTAAGTTTATTGGTTGATCCACTTAGTGACAGCGATTGTTATGGCATTGATTTATATATTCAGGCACGTAACTTTCTGCACTCAGTGACTTAATACAAGAACTGTATGCAATACTCCCACTGGGTGTAAACTTACCCAATAAAGAAGGTATCACTAAATTGAGTAAACTGGTCTTAAAATGTAAATTTATCACCAGAGATGCTGATTGCTTAGTAAAAAGATATCCTGTGCATAGTATATGTTATGCATAATTTAAATAGTTAAGGTCAGCACACATGAGGGGACTAGTCCCTGCGACTAGTCCCTGCAACAAGTCGCAGGACAAGTCCCATTGTCTGAACTGGCCATTTTTGCTTCAAAATCTAGTCGCAGTGACCATCTTTGGTCCCTGCAACTAGTCCCACGAATTCAAGCCAGTTTGAATTTTTGGGACCAGTCCCCTCATGTGTGCTGACCTTAAAGCTAACTGAAAATTGCTTCAATAAGTAAACATACAATGAAAGCAGTCATAGAAAGAGGATACAACAATCTAACTTTTAATGCACAGGAAAGAGCATAAACAGCTATGATAACTCCTGGGATTGAAAACAGACTTATTACTTGACCCAACATCAACTTTATCTTTGTCTCCATGGTCAATATCTGTAACACAACGGTTTTTCACCAATGAAATACAGTCCTTGGGTCAATAGCGGAACAAGAATGGGAAAATGTTCTATTACATGGCAATCAGGTATAAAAATACATGTATAATAGCCGAGATCTGAATCAAACTTCCCGCTGTGTCATCTCTTCTTGATGGACTTGAAATGTGAATAAAATTGTTATTATAATCATGAAATCATATTTTCTTTTTGTTTCAACTGGCAACAATATTTTTTTGGACTCAAAAAAACAACAACAACGCAAGGAGTGAACATTCAGTGGTACTCCTCACTTTGAATGCAACATGTTCCCCTAAGGTATGAATAATGCTCTTCAGTAAAACACAACTGAAAGTGCTTAGGAATATGACAACAGGAAGCAGATTTTCAGAATGTACCATATCCTACAGCTCCTGATAGTAACGAAAGATTGCATGCTGCCTTGAACTCCTCATAGCAACTATGTGAGATTGGTAGTATCACTTTACGAAAACAACTGTCTGCCTCAAGAAGTTTCCTTCTGGTATCAGTCTGAAATGCAACTTCCAAATCCTCTTGTGGGTCAAGAACTGTTCTGCCAGTAATGAATATCACCAGTGAGTTACTTAGTGGGTATCCCGTGTTTTCATCTGCAAGGTTAACCCCCAAAACAAAGTGCATAAGAAAATTAATATTGAATTGTTGCCATGTCTCTCCAACCTTTTACTTTGAGATATGGTGGATATTGACTTCAATCAATATTGCTACATACAAATGACTCTTTTCACTTAATGTCAATGGCATTACTAGCGGACCATTTCTATTTCGTTTTTCTATTTAGAAATGCCATATAGGTGTTCAAAACACTGCCAGGGACTTTTTTAGGCAAACTGCTTATTTACATGTATATGGCAAGTACATGTGTAAAGGCAGACATGGTGAGGTTTCACTGCTTCCATGGGAATCATGTCACTTGATATACTTGTCCATGTTTCTAAAAACTTATTTTGACATTCCAGATGTTCACATTTTAGCATCTAGCAGCTGTCTGCATTTGTGATTAGAATTCAGTCTCAAAACCATAACTCCAAATGTAACAAAAGAACTGAATGATTTTACCCTCAGATGGGAATAGTACAGTGCAAGCACATTACTCACCTACATTTGAGCTAGTGTTGTCGACATACTCAAGAAACCATTCCCAAGCCTGTGCTTGAGCTTCACCAACAATTTCATGGATGGTATGTGCTTGAACTAACTTGCTTTTCAGTATGTCCATGTCAACTGAAGCTTCTTCCATTGAGGGAAATACAAATTTAGTTATGGAGGGATGCTTGCGAAGCAAATCACCCAGTCCAAGTGTGTTAAGACCTCGGAAGAATGAGTCAAGGCCAATTGTTCTCGTAACCAACACTTCGGCAACAAGGAGATCCTTGATAGCCTTCTCTTTGTTAACATCACTCAGTGGTACTGCATCTGTTAGTCCATGTCGGACCAGCAACTCCTCAACCTTATCTTTTGCTTCATCATCTACCTGATGCATAGCCTGTTCTTTTAAAACCTAAAGGACATGGTGAAGCAATGTTCATTCTGTTTAGTAACAACACAAGTACACAGTATTGGCTTAATATGTTTTGAAATAGGTACAGTATGTAATAATTGGCAGTCTTAAAGAAAATTGGGTGGAATCACTATGTTTTCCAATTTTAATATTGTAATAGGCTGGTAGTAGAAAGGAGAAAGTGATGGATACCTCTCTAGAAACTGAGGCAATGGAAATTTGAAAGTTGTGTGAGAACATGTTATAATAAGTTAATAAGTTAGTGTTGCTGTTGGGTTAGGGGAGGGGTAGGTGCACAGTTGCCCAGAAACTGATATTGATCTGGATTTTGCAAGCTGCTTGATACATGGCAAGTGTTACAGTAAGATTCATAAGTTTAAGCATTGTAACAATAAAACTTTTATTGTAGCCTATCTAACCTTTTCTTCCAGGAGTCCCTTGAGCTCAAGATCGGTTAGATCATCCATTGTAACAAGGGTCGCAGCCTCCTCCAAGGAACCAGTGTTAACGTATTTAACTACAGCAGGAGATAGGCCTACCAATCCTGGGCCATCATGCTTCAAACTATGTGCCACAAGTTTCCCTGCTACTTGAAAACACCCTGAAGAAACAGCATCTACTCCATAAAAGGGGATTAGATGTCCCTCTTGACCACCAAACAACTGCATATTGAATACAGGATCAACTTTACTCAAGGAACTAATGGCACTGTGAAAGAATTCTTTAGTTGGGCCTCCCAAGTCAGCACCTTGCTCTCCGTGGAAGATTACATTCACACGTTTCTTTAAGTTAAATTGAGGGTTCTTGTAAATTGTCATTATCTGGCGGAGCATAGACAACTGCATTCTGTTAACATCAATATATGCTGTGCCTTGCTCTGTCTGGTATCTGTAGGACTGCATAATTTCCACAGCTGTGGATGCATGTGTGGTAATGGATGGCTTGCCTACGAAAGAGACAAATTGTACAATAACTGTCAATAGTATATTGAATTAACATTGCACACTGCAATGATTCCGTTTTGGGCAATCCTTCCAATGAATGCCCTTTTTCTAATAAATTATCCTCCTTGATTTTTGGTCATTGTTGTTGTGTTTTTTTTAAGGAACTTCTCTGATTGACATGAATGTGAATACTATTGACTATATTGACTTGGAAGAAAAGAAAACAGTGATATTACGAGTCTATTACCCAACAGGAGGGCATTTTGTATGCGCATGCGTCAATATGGGCTGTTGAAGTGCCATAGAGGCATTTTCTGTGAATTGTTTACGTTCAGTACCAGCATTTGCAGGCTGTTTTCTGGAGCTGAATGACGTGTATTGGGTGCTACGTTCCTCAGACGTGTTCTTTAAGGTATCGTGGTATTTTTTACGATGAAAGTGAGTTTATTGTAGCCTCGCTGTCGCCCTTGAGAGGACAGTCTTTCCTTTCGTAAAACAGTACATCGAAGACAAGATGGCGGCTGAATGTTCTTACCACCTAACATTTCGCGCACATTTTTTGAGCAGGAGGAAAAGGTCAGTATGATAGTTTTTCGTCGAACAATTATCCTATAGATACTTAATTCTTCTCAATAGTATAACTCTAAAATCGAACTTAATCGTTTCGAGGAATACAGTGGTTAATTAAATGTCCATTCTGCCGTGAAACTGTTTTTCACCCTTTCTCTGGCTTGTTTATCTCGAAATCTTGCCTTTCTCCCCAGATTAAGTTAATGATTAATGAAACTAAGAATACTTCCGCGAATGAAGGGCGCTTTGATGAAGGCTGTGAAAAATCGCCTTCTGTAATAATTTTAGCTTTCTTCTCCAGTACGTCTTCGTTGAGAAATAAAATACACGCACTTCAACTATAAATTTAAATCAATATAATGATGCCAGTAAGATTGTGTTTTGAAAATAAGAATATTCTATCATTTAGTTATACAAAGGAAAAAAATTACAGCAATCGGTTTGAATTCTGATTTTTTTTCCACCATATTTTGATGGTACACTGTTTGTTTACATTTCATTATGCAAATAAATATAACATTTTGGCGTTTTAAAGAAAATCTAGCCTAACTCCCCAACCCCAAAATAGCACGAAATGAAACGTTATCAATATACCTTTTAAATAAATCCTGGCTTCTGTTGCCAAAAAATCGCATTTATTCCTAAATGATACCATTTTGTGGATACTACATTTGTTGATATGCTAATTTGTGAGACATTTCATTCACGAAGGATGTTGACTGAGACCAGCTTCTCCTCTGTATTGAACCACATTCTTGTTTAGTGCATCAGTTTCTGCTTGATAATTCTTCCATGATGTACAACTTACATAAGGGGTTCATCTGGATACAGTAAAAAGCTCTCAACAGAAACATTAAGAACAGACAAATTTATCCATCCATTTGTGTCATGTTTGTTGTCGCATCCCAGCTCATTTGGGTCCTTTAGCAGAAGTATTTATTTTTTGAGGAAACAGCATTATATGCACCCTTTAACAAACTTCCTATCTTATGTTCAAACAGGCTTTGAAGGTGAACAACATCGTCATTTAGATTTATATGGAGTGATGGCCATTCTCTGTTTTGAATGGATCACTACTGTCATCAAATACAGATTAATAACAAGAAATCGATTGTGGAGCACAGGAGCTGTCACTCAAGAGTACTTTCAAAATAGTAGCTTAGGAAAAATCTTTGTACCTTTAGAGTTAAAGAAAAATAAAAGTACTGTTCGTTTTTTCGGAGTATGCGTGCATTCGTTTTGTCTGCAACTGAGCTTAGAAATGCTCAAGTGATTATGTTCTACCTAATCACTTGTAATTGTTTCTGTCTCAAGCTCAAGCTCAGTCCATTCTTCATTTCCAATAGAATATTTTTTATAAATTTTTCCGCGAAAACTTTCAAAAAACTGTAAAAACCCCATAGATTTCACGTTTTTGTGGCATATGTTCTGAAGTATTTTGAAAGTAATTTTTAAGACGGATCTATCTTAACTTTTGAGTTTAGTTTTTCTTTCATTAAGTCTTGTTTTTGTCCACGTACTGTTTTCCTGTTTTGATCTTTTGTGTTTACTTGTATTTGAAGTTATGCTTAGCTCGCGAATTTACTTATTGCCATATTAGGAATGTTACAGGTGGTCGTGTTTGTGCTGTTAGAGCTGACCTTCGTTATTTGGTACTTATCAGTTGCGGCTGTGCGTAGGCTAATCTATTCCCTGACAATAGCAAACCTGTTGCAGTGTTAGCGATAAGAAATACAATGGAAACTCTTCCGGCCAGCTAACCCAAACACGTCCAGCTTTGGCTATTAAAACCGCTACTATACTTGAACTAGTGAGTAGAGAAGAGTAGGAAAAGTAGAGTAGAAGTAGTGTAAGCAGAAGTTGTAAGAAGATTAAGAAGAATAAAAGCAAGATGTAAATCAGATTCCTGGTCCCTCGTCGTGTACCGAGCGAGTTGCTCGAACAAACCCCCACACATATATAAACGCTTGTCTTCGCGATCAGTTTAACATGAGACATCGCGCTAATAAATAAACCTTGCGTGGTAATTTTTTTTTTCGCTTTTTGCCCTACAGCAGCTGAACATTGCTACGATGCATTTCCTCCCTGATGTGTAAAACCACGAGTTTGGAAATCAAACCATAGAAATGCATTGCTTTGCCAGTGAAAATCAGACTTATACAGGAACATGACTTTTTGGCGTTGAGTCTTGAAAGTCTTTAAAAGGCCAAGGAAACCTACTGCTGAAAAATCTACAAGTGAAAACCCGCGTAGAAAACGTCTGATTTTTGTGATGGAGAATATTTTTTGAAGGAAAGTGCGGTATTCAAAGCACCAACGAAATGGCTTTTAAAAGGACTGTAACTTTACGCGCGAGTTTTCGATTTCCCGCCATCAGATTTGATGCACCCACGCTATTGTCATTCAGCGGATTCACGCATGCGCATGCAAAATGCCCTCCTGTTCTATTACCCATACATGTCGTCTATCATTCTAATAATCTCTCAAGGTTGAAGGTACCTGAAGTTTGGGCTTACCAGTTTCAGTAGAGCTACTATCCCTGTCACCAGCATTTGAACCTTACAATTAATCATATGACTAAATATTAATGACCCAAAGAGTAAAATATAATTTTGATTGCATACCTGTACAATCAAGTAGACCCATTATAAATCTAGGAGAAATACTTATGTTCCATGTTATGCAACAACTTAAGAAGCTGCATGTCAGGAAAAAAACATTCAGTGAAGTTTGAATGCTAGTAGGCCTCAATTTGACAGCTCCATTATTTTACAAACAAAGGAGATGAAATGTTGCAAGCTTTTGACTGCTTATAAGAAATTCAACTAAAATTTCATCCTCTTCAAGGAAAAACATTTTTATAAACATTCACAACAAAATAAGGTGTTATGGGTTCCTAATACTGACCCGATTCCAAAAGTAGATCTATTGCTTCTTCAAGACTACCACCAATGTCCAGAGCTGACTGCAGGTCAGAGCTTGATTTAACAGGAAAAATTCCTTGGAAATCTGCAAGGGCAGTGGGACTGATTGCTCTCTTTTCCTGCCATCCTTAAAATGTAAGATATTTAAAGCATGATTACAACCAAGCAACATTTGCATTGCACCTTTTCGTTTTCATCCCCAGGATCAACATGTAAAACATTTTTATATTTGTGCAGTGAGAGAAATCAAATTTTATGCATAAGAAAACATTGAAAAGAAAAAGAGACAATTTCTACAAATAATTATTAGCCCACTGCACCATAGTCATCACACTGATGGTTTTCTGTTCCAGGGGAGGGACAGACCTAGCTGTGTATAATTTACACTTTATTAGAAGAGATTTACAGGTCATGTCTTGTCAGAAATTTCAGCTCACCATCAAACACCAATGCACACAATTCCCTAGTAAGAAGAGTTGTGCAAAACTAGCCACACTGCACTCCACACTTTATTTTCTCAGTTTGCTTTTTATAATGTAGCCAGTGTTGTAGGTTTTAGTGTCACAGGTCTTGTCTTTTATGTAGCTTTTCACTGTTCTTTTTATGTACCTGTCTTGATGGGCACAGGGTCTTTATCCTCATCACTTGAGTCATCATTCACAACAGTGGTTACTTTACTTGATCCACCAAAATCCAACATGTCAGGGTCATTTTCACTACTTGTACTTGCACTTGAACTTGATCCACCACCACAATCTTGCATGTGCTGCCTCATTCTTGAAAGCTGAATCTTGATCCCACACTTGACACACATCTCCAATGGGCAAGAGTCAAAAGACTAATACAAACACAGATGACCATAGTGTATCTTAGCCTGTTCTGTTTACTAATAAACAACAATTCAACAGTAGTTCCAAATGCCTTGTCACAAGTCACTCACACTCGCTCTGGTGAAAAATTGAAAAAAAAGTGCTTTTCAGGGAAAACTGGGGACAAGCCCAGAGCAAGCCTGAGGAGGCAGCTAAATGGCAGAGTGACACATACATGTAAGCTCTTCCACTATAACGAGATGTGCTCAAGAACTTTCAAAACAGTAATAAACAATAACATAAAAAAAGTAAACAAATTAACTGTAACATCCATCTTGATAGAAAGGCATTTAGTAAAAGTAGAAGACATAAACACACTCTATCCCTCACTGCCAAGCTTAATGTCAATGTATCAAAAGAAGTACATTGGTCAGAATATTGTGGTAAAGAAGAAAACTGGTCATAATGAGTAGAGAACTCACCAATGATGGCTGTCCTGTTTGCTCAAGACTTAAATCTTTTTGAAGGGGTCGAACATAGATTTTAGCTGATGACACCATTTCTTTAAGGTCTAACACATTATGCCCACCATTCCCTTTAGGTTACAAAATTTCCAATTTGCTGGTTGATCTGAACTTTGTACGCATCAGCTCGTAACCCCCTCCTTCCTTTAGTTTTGGGTAGCCTTCTAACAGCTTTTCATGAAAGTAGCCACACGAGGATTTCTTCTTAAATGTTATCTTCTTCTCTCCAAGTGATGCACCTGACAACTGGGATTTGTAGGCAGTACTTGGGACTTCATTATCGCTCCTTCGTTCTAAGCATACAAATGTATGAGTCCACGTATTGGGTAGCTTAATTCCTGTAGGTAATTTCCTTTTTCGTTGAATTCCTGCAGGAGTGAAATTAAATAGCCGCCCTAGCTCGGCTCTGGCATTTTCTGTGGTAAAATGGGATAGTAAAACCAAGTAAGCAATAATATTATTGTCAGTGTATTAATGCAAGAGTGAGTGTCTGGTGGCAGGGTGAAAGGGGGTGTAAACAAATATATAACTATGTTTACTTTGCATACTTTTGCAAGATTATTGTTACTGTTCAGAAGAAACAGTTGAAATAGTAACCCAACAGAGTTCTCAAGAAAATCATTCATCACAGGCTTTTATAGCCACCTGATTTGACCTCTTGCCAGCTGGGATTAACTTGGCTAATTTACAAATATTTACAATGTACTTCAGTGTTTCATTATGTTGGCCTATTGGTGGAGTGGTCAGTTATTTTTTTGTAATTAATAGCATATTAAAACTTAATGTGCAGGGGTTTCAATAAAAGCCGGCTACCAGTGGTCTACCGCCGTCTATTTGGATTTCATTAATGAAGGGCCTTGCAGCCACTTTAGTGGTCACAGCCGCCTATTACATCTGCAATGGCCGCTTATAACTAAAGTTATTGAAACCCCTGAATGTGGCTACTTATTTATTAATAATGTGAACAAGTTCTTGTAATTTTATTATTTAATCATGTTTACCTGCAGCAGGTGCATTTACTGCAGTCCTTAGCTGCTGTTGACCTAAAATAGCATTAAAGAAATAAATTGTTTCATTCAATGTAATGTGCTTTTTGCCAAGACAATAAGACTTATGGTTTGTTTTGTTTTCACATAAGAAAATGTACTATACCATAGGTAAGCTTGCTCATGATAGGTTTTTCAATTTAAGCTTACCTGTAGTACGAGTGTTGGTGTTGAGGGGCATGTGCTGATGTTGACCTAAAATAGCAAGAAAAATAGTATGCTTAGTGTAAACAAATAACAGTAAAATGGCAATTTTGTTGAAACAAGGTAACCTGAAATTTAGGGGTGGCAAGGGTCAATGCACTTATTTGGCTGGTTCAAGGCTTTTGTGATCAAGTATTAAAAAATTCACCTGCAGATTGTGTCGCGTGTGCTGTGACACTGTTTGTACCTGTAGCCAGCTGCGAGTCTAGACAAACAAGGAAAGATTCTTGATATGAGTTTGATTAGGAATCAAGGAAACCCCCTTAGTGTAGAAGTTAGAGTACAAGTGAAGTGGTCAACAAACACTCAAACGCATGTATAACTGTCTTACATCGATCCGCTGTAAATATTTCATTTACACTATTTAAACCAGCTCCCTGATGTTTTTAGCTCGTTAGTTATTTTAGGGAGCTGGTAACCCCATAAACTTATCAAAATAGACTTTTAAATTCATTGTATAAACTTCTATTAAAATGAGTAACAAAGTGTGTGTTGTTTTTTGTTGTCAAACGACAAAGCCTACGGATAACAATCGATCGACCTTTGCTATAACCTTTTGACAAAAATACATCTTACTTCATGTTAAGATAATTTTACATACCCGTTTCCAAGCCAGAAATGCAGTTTAGAATGTTTTGGGCACATTCTCGAAGTGTTTCTCTTGCATCTCGACATACTGGTGTTCCCGCCATGTTTAACACGTGGGAGGAGGACGAGAACCAGAGAGATATGCGTGATAAGAGAAGCCGCTGTTTCTGAACCGCAGGCCTATGCTCACTTTAAAGGTGCACCTTGTCTCTTCAAAGGTGTACCTCGTCAATTTAAAGCAAAACTTTTTGACTTGAACATGTTCCTTGTCATTTTAGAGATCATTTCGTTCAGCTTCACTTCAACGCAGTGTAGGTCTTCAGTTTCAAGATGTACCTCGTCACTTTAAAGGTGTTTGTATTCACTTTAACGGAATGCCTCATCCCTTTAAAGGGGTAGGTCTTCACTTTAAAGGTGTAGGTATTCATTTTAACGGAATACCTCGTCACTTTAAAGGTGTTGGTCTTCGCTTTAAAGGTGTTGCTATTCACTTTAAAGGCCACACACTTCGATTTGTCCTATTTGCCGCGCCATAGTCAAGATCCCGGGGCGCGGGGTCAGGATGCGCTAAAAGCAGGTGAAGAGCAAACGTAAAACATGCGTGTAATACAAAATTTTTGCAAATGAAGAATTTAATTGCAGGGTTCGTACCCTTTTTTGGACTAAAAATTCAAGGACTTTTCAAGGACTTTTCAAGGACATATTTTTCATTTTTCAAGGACTCCACCAACTGCAAAATAAAAGGATGTTCACCTTATAGTAGCAATTGTGCCGAGCTTAAGTCGAGCTTAAAGTCTATGCCTTTTTTAGTTCATCCACAACATTCGCAATTTTGCACTCAAGGTCTTTGTCTTTGGATATGGGCGATTGATCGACGTGCGGAGTGGCGTTACGATCGTTTTTTATTTGTATCTTACTATTATGTGTTGCTACGTTTGTGCCAGTGGCATATATTTTCAAATAAGGCACTCTAGAATCTAAGTTGGATTAAATTAGCTACAAATTTCAAGGACTTTCCAGCACTGACTACAATTTTCAAGGACTTTCAAGGCCTTGAATTTTTATTTTGAGATTCAAGGACTTTCAAGGACTTTCAAGGCGCGTGCGAACCCTGTAATTGGTAGCCTCGCTGAAGATTTTCATTGCTTCGAGACGTCGGCATTATCAAATCAAAAGATGTCTTAACAAAAAAATTGTGTACATGTTTTCTTTCCATCTTCACACGGTAGAACTTCCAGTAGTTGGCTGCACGTGGGTAATCCTGGCCTGCACGTGCGTTATTTCAGAGTGCCTTCTTAATAAAGGACAAAATTAATGTAATTTCTGTTGTTTTAAATGTCACTTTTCGTGAATTGAAACAAACATTATTTACATTTTTTTTGTTAGTACATTTGAAATAAGACAATTTCCAAAACAAAATCGAAGAAACAGCGGAGACAACAGAACCTCGGCCTTGAAGGATCCGATGGTGCCTTGCGATCTTTAACCTGTGCCGAGTAAGACCAGGAAGCCAGTTTTGCAAGGTTTCGAAATCCATTTGACTATTGTCTCAGTGACACAAGGGACGGACCATTAGAAAACTTATTGGGGAGGGGGGAGTACCAAAAAAAATATTCGCGCAAGGGAAAATTAAGTGAAAAAAATTCATGCACGCTAATTAACCCTGAAAAATATTCATGCTACGGCCTCAAAAAATTCATACAAGGAATTTGATAACGAGACAAAATTCCTGCGGCTCAAAAATCCCCCCCATAACTTTTCTAATGGTCCGTCCCTAATAGATAAGATTTCTCTCCGTGATCTCCAGTGTCCTACATTCTTGTAACATTCTGCAAGCGCATCTGCTACTGAGCTTGAAGTCAGTGGCTTCGTCATTGGTCTGCTGAGCTACAATTTGAGATTGAACTAAGGATACCCAGGGTTTTTCAGCGTCTTCTGGCGCAATCTCCTACCCGTCCGTCCGTACGGCGGGTAGGAGAGAACCCTGGGAACGAGGTTGCAATCTTTCCAAGAGTTGCATCGACCACTTGTTTTGCTGTTCGAATGTGGAATCGTTGAGTGCTATCCGATGCCATATCCCCCACACGTTGTCTTGAAGGAGGTACGAGTCAGTCGTTTGAAGGAAATGTAAAAATAATAAAAAAAACGACAACAACAAAGCCATCAGAACTGGACTATGATCTTTACTCTACGGGAAATCGGGTTTAATTTCAAACTAAAAGTAAAACTGAAAAGTTTATTTTATCGGACAGATTAGGTGGATTGGTGCCGTACCCGGGAGACTCTGGGTTATCTAAGAGAGTTGACAACTCTTGAATCTAAGTGACTTATTAGAATATAATACAATGAATAAACTAAGAGTACCTGAACCTACAGGAATGAGGATACCGGTTTGCTGATAGATATATTCTGAAATGTTCTTCTTCTAACTCTTTTGTCGGCTTTAACAGGCTTCCCTCTTCTTTCAATTATGTGATTGGCAATTTCCTTTGGAACTTGGCACGAATTGGAATAACTGTTCCGTCGCCATCCAATACCAAGATCAGGACGATGGAAAGGGCATATATTAAAGGAACTTAGGGCGCTTTCCATCTGTCAGAACTGGCCGGCTGGACCATCGCCCGACCAGTCATTTTGAAAATGAAATAGGATTTTTCCAAGAGTTTTTGCTTAAGAACGTTCTCTTTCGAGCATACTATTTCGGATTTGACTGATCTAGCTGAAGAGTTTGATTAAAAGGGAAATTATCATTGCGACGGGAATGGTCTGGCTGGTCAGTTCTGAGCTAAAATAAAGTCTGTTTTGCTTTCAATACCAGAAAGAGACCATGTCGACCTATGCCCAGTTACGTCCTTAATAGTTTGACAACGACAAAGGAACAATCTCAGTTGATCTCTGCTTATCCCTTCTATAAAACGTACACAGAGTACCTACTAATGACTCGAAGGAGCACGAACCTTCCATAGCTTCATCGAAGAAGAGCGCACACAAACAGTGTTTATGCAAAGATCTTTTTCTTTTTCAAGTGGGAATGAACAGTTGAATTAAATTAAACTAAATTTAATTCGATACGGTTGATCAGATGCCTAAAACGTCAAAATATTAAAGATGATTCTCGGGTAAAATAATGTCAACTGGAGTGTTTTTGAAGAAGGAGGATTATAAAAGATGAATCTTCATCAGTGTACTGGAAGTAAC